TGGTGTAGGTTGCTGAGTGGAATGCCCACGTCACGAAACTCAACTGAGAATCCACAGGTAGGCCTAGTATAACATGTTTTTTGTTGTTTGTTTGTTTGTGTGTCTGTCTTTGGCGTGTTGTGCGGCTTGTCTTGGTGATTACGATGATGGTGATCACAGTTTCTTTGTTTTTCGCTTTGTCTGTTGTTACATTTTTGTGTCTCTGTCTCACTATGTTGCGTGCATTGTCACTTTAATTTCTTTCGCTGTCGTCACTTCATTCGATGAAGATGATGATGGTGCTGCCACCATTTATTTACTTTTCATTTACGTATTAATCTTTTCTTCATCACTGCATTCACCATTTGCACTGCTACACTCTTGTCACCACCTGTCATACGTGTAACACCTGTCACAGATCTTTCACATCTATTATTTTGACGTTACTTTGTTATTTTCAGGACACAGACCATCACTGACACAAGTCACATCTTAAAAGGGCTGTCACAACAACAGCTGTTTCTTAACTATCGCTTTCGTTGTTTTTTTTCGCTTTGTATTGGAATCATGAATGAGAGGGTTCGATGCACATTTTATGAATGAAAATATTTTGTTGGTGTTTTCCCGTTTTGTGTGGAAATGAACAGGAAACGGTTTGCACGGTTGTTTCCTTTAGTAATTTTTCGTGTTCGTACTAACGTGAAATATTTTGTTAATGAATACAAAAGATTATGTGAAAATAATGAATGTCAGTTGTATGGAATTAACAAACCGAAATACAGTCTAAAACAAGAAAACATCACATTTTACCGTCATCTCTCATCACTTTTTTCACGAAATCATCACATTACATCACATCACTATATATTCCAGGAGGAGTAATATCACGGCCTTGTGTAACACTTTCATCACATCATCACAAAGTAAGTATGTGCAGGTGTGACGTCATGTACTTTTAGGCCAATCAGCGACGCGAAAGGCTTGTGACGTCATAGGACTGAGAGCAGGTGGCGGGAAACTCAAAAGTAAATTAGCTGTTTCGTGATTATTTGGAATACGTTAATTGTATAGTTAGTGCCAGTGATTAATCTTACACATATTACATCATGATCCATTTGACCAATTAGATTTAAGTTCACGATGCCGTTGCCAGTGACTACAGAAAACAATCAGAACTATGATTGTTATGTCATCTATTTTGTCGTAAGTCCTTATCCAGTCTGCTTCATTATTACCTTTAGCGTAGTGCGAAATATCAGGAAAAACAAGGCGGTGACTGGACATCATGAATATATATATATATATATATAATATATATATATATATATATATATATATATATATATATATATATATATGTGTGTGTGTGTTGTGTGTGTGTGGTGTGTGTGTATGTATATGTATATGTATATGTAATATATATGCATATATATAACATATACATATACATTAACATTTATAAGTAGTCTAGTATGTATATTGTATGTGGTAGTATATATGTGTGTGCATATATAATATATATATATTATATATAATATAATATTATATTATATAGTATAATATAATATAATATATATATATTAACATAATATTATATATATATATATTCATTTACTAGTATATATATATATATATGTATATATATATTATGTATATAGTATACATATATATAATTATATATATATACATATATACATATATAATCATATTATATATATATATAATATATATATATATGTATGTATGTATGTATGTATTATATGTATATATGGCATATATATATGTAATGTAATATATTATGTATGATGTATGTATGTATGTGCATAATATACTGTTACATATAATATATAATATTTATGCTATCTATACTTAATATATATATATATGTATTTGTATTCAATATTATTATAATGATATATATATATATTAGTAGTATATATGCTTAATATATATATATATATATATATGTATTATATTATATTATATATATATATAATATGATATTGTATATATATATATGTATTCTTATATTAATGACATTATATTAATGTGAGATGTATATGTGTGGTATGTCAAGTTTGTATGTGTGTTATATATACATTATTTGTTTATCGATATTTCTATCTTATTCATATTTAGATGTATATGCATTTATATAGATAAATACATAGACATAGATGGATAGATGTAAATATATATATACGTATATGCATACATGTGTGTGTGTGTGAATTAAATCTCCTTTATGTTCTCTAGGTGTAGCAATAGACCTATCTTCCTTATCTGATTGTAATGACGTCACGTTGTCACCATCTGATTCTGGCAGCCATCGCGGTAGAGAGCTCCTCATCTTTGCCAGAGACTTACATGCTAGCACTTTTCCATCACATTTTGCGCTTCTGCATGAACTCTGTGTATGCAGGAAGTCTGATCCTACCACACAAGTACAGAACCACAGCTTTCATGTAAGCAAACATGACAATAGAGGCGACCTGCAATTTCACGAACATGGGTGCTGTCT